TTATGCACTCCTCTATACTCAGCTACTAGGGCAGCTATGTGGCACAATGGATACAGCACCAGAACTGGAGTCAGGAAGACTTGAGTTCAAATCTGGCCACTGACACTTACTGTGTGACCTTCGGTAAGTCACTTAACCTTGTTTGCCTCAGTTTCCTCATCTGTAAAATAAACTAGAGAAGGAAATGACAAACCACTCCAGTATCTTTGCAAAGAAAACCTCAAATGGAGTCATGAAGAGTAGGACACAACTGAAATGACTGAACAACAGCATACCTAGCTAGTTAATTCTGAGGTGGTAGATACTGTTGTTGTTGTTGTTATAGCAGATATTGCTAGGTCCTTACACAAATTCCATCTTGGTATAATTGAGCAGGGCTTGAACTCCTCTGGTTTAAGCCAGGATCCCTTCCACATAACAATGAGGTTTTGAAGGAATATCTTTGTGGAAGAAGATCATTACTTTTGGTTAATATATTACAAGGAGTCACATCAACCACCCTAAATATTATAACAGGGTAAAACAAATTTTCTGTACCACTTACCTATAGTCAGAAAAGGTCAATAACAAGGAATGGGGAGTTTCTAGGTGATTGTTTCCTTACACTGAGCCAGCTGTCTGCCACCCTTGGGTATCTCTCTCCTTCCTTTTCCCTTTCTGTCACACAATGAGCAGTGAGTTGTAGCACCTCAACCCCTTGGGCAGTATATCATGTTCCAGCACCTGTCTCACTCCTGTTCACGGGAGGAAAATGTCAAGTGACACCTGGAGACCAGGTGAGACCTAACAGCTGTCAACAAGGACAGTCACAATGTGCATCAGGGGAAAACAAAAGGGCAGGACAGCAAGAATGCCCTAAGGCTGAGATGTCAGGTGCTTTCATAGGACAGAGACCCTCAGAACTCAGCTCTAAGATTCCAAGGGTCATGGAATTTTCTTCTTGTGGATAAGAGAGGAGAGAGGACCAGCATTAAGGGAAATAAGAATAATGCAGTATTATACCAAATAATGCTTTAACAAATTGCTTTCACAGTCATTGTCATATATATTTATATATGTAAATATATACACATAGATGCATTTTTAGATGGAGAAACTCAGAAAGCTCAAAAACATAATCCGACTTCTTCAAAATCATATTGATACTTTGTGAGAGAACCAGTAGTGAAGATGAGGCCAGTTTTTCTGACTCCAAATCTTTCATTCTTTATACCACACTACACTTCAGGGGAAAGCCAGATCATCAGTTTGAGAGTTTGAAGAAGATTAGATGAGAATAATCCTATCCTGATGACCTTTATTGTAAACTTACAAAGAGCAGGCTCATCTCAACAGCCTTTACAGAATTAAGATTTACAGCTCAGGTGAAGAGAAAATAGAACCACCAATAGATTCATCAAAGTTCTCAGTATCTTCCCTGACTAATACACACTCACATCTATACATATATGCTTGGATATGAAGGACCTCCCAGCATTGTAGTGATACTAATAAAAATCTAGAATCATGGAATTGTAGGGAGACTAAGAGGTTGTCTAGTCTAACTGCTCACTCAGTGACAGTGATAAATAGATCTTGACAGAAGTCATTCAGCCTCTGCTTAAATGCCTCCAGTGAAAGTTCACTAGCTTCTGAGCCAGTCTATTTGACTGCTGGACAGCTCCACTAGAAAGTTATAAAAGATAAAATAAAATAATTTTTTAAGAGAAAGTTCTTCCTAACTATTTAGGCAAAATCCATCTCTGTGCCTTGAACTCATTGATTTTAGACGGGCCTCAAGAAAAACACAGATTTACTCCTCTTTTGTATGTGACCATGGATTTACAGCAGTAAGGTACTTTAAAGCTAAGGTCACTGAGTCCAACCCTTCCTTCTTCTTTCTTTCTTTCTTTCTTTCTTTCTTTCTTTCTTTCTTTCTTTCTTTCTTTCTTTCTTTCTTTCTTTTCTTTCTTTCTTTTTCCTTCCTTCCTTCCTTCCTTCCTTCCTTCCTTCCTTCCTTCCTTCCTTCCTTCCTTCCTTCCTTCCTTCCTTCCTTCCCTTCTCCTTCTCCTTCTCCTTCTCCTTCTCCTTCTCCTTCTCCTTCTTCTTTTTCTACCTCTCCCTCTCTTTCCCAGGTTGAAGTACAATGGCCTCTCACAGCCTGATCCCAATCGCTTTGGCATGGAAATTTAAACCTGCTGTTTTTCTAGCCTGGGCCACTTCACTCCTCCTTAGCTCTCCTGATGACCTTCTGTTCCCAGGGATTCATTATATTGATGTCAAACTTAGGGCAGATATATGGTCAGCTTTAGCAAACTGTAGCTAAGAACTCCTGTACTCAAGCAATTCACTAGCCCCAGCCTTCCTTCCAACTACAGGCACTGGCTACCACCCTGTTCCTTCATTTTGCAGATAAGGAACTAAAGGTCTAAAGATCTTTCTCACACACAACCTACCTTGTATTTAATTACTTTGCATTTACTTTCATGTAATTGTTTTATATTTGTTCTCTATATGCTTATATGTGCACTTGTCTCCACCATTAGAATGTAAACTCCCTGAGAATAGGGATTGCTTCATTCTTTGTACTTGAGTGCCCAAAACCTCAATGCCTGGTACATTGTAGATACTTAATAAGTGCTTATGGATTGGTTGAACAAATTCTCTAAGGTCAGCAATCACATGGCGACACCAGAATTTTAAACCAGGAACCCTGACTCCAAATTCAACATTCTGTTCACTGTACCATAATAACCTTCATGTTAAAAGAGTGATTCTGTCTTCCCCAAGATTTCTATATGGGCAGCTAGGTAGTGCAGTGAATAGGGTGCAGGGCTTGGAGTCAGAAAGACTCCTGAGTTCAAATCTAGCCTCAGACACTTAATATTTGTGTGAACCTGGGCAAGTCACTTAACCCTGTTTGCCTCAGTTTCCTCATCTGTAAAATGAGCTGGAGAAAGAAATGTCAAACTATTCCAGTATCTCTGCCAAGAAAACCCCAAATGGTATCATGAAGAATCAGACATGACTGAAAAGTGACTGAACAAAAAGTCTTCTATCCTTAATGCTAACTATATCCATATCCCTGAAATGATTCTCATATGAAATGGTTATACATCATCATAGTCACTAACATTATCATCATAGTTAGCATTTATACATTACTTACAGGTTTACAAAGCACTTTACAAAGATCTCATTTTATACTTATTCGGCAAGGCTGGAAGGTAGGTACCATTGTTATCCTCATTTTACAAAAGAGGAAACTGAGGCAGACAGAGGTTGAATTGTTTAAGGTCACACAGATAGTAAGTGCTTGAGACTGGATTAAACTCAGATTTTCCTGATTCCAGGTCTAGCTCTCTATCCGCTGTGTCTACTAACAAAGTACTTTTTAAAAACTATCTTTTTTCTTACAAAAGACTCAAAAGGTTTGCACATAAAACTTTCATATAGATATTTTTCTCATCAAAGTCTTTATTAGGACAACATATACATTTTAAGAAACATTCAAAACTTTGCTCAATTATATAGCACTTGATAAAATAGATGTCTTCCAAAAACAGGCTCTAAGTCAGTTTTCTTTAATTTAAATTAACAAAAATTCAAATATAATATGTAAGTTTATTTTAAAAAACTTATAAAAAAATAATTAGCTCTCACACTAACTTAAATATTTTGGAAGTTTATTTTATAAAGTTAATTATATCAAATTATTGCATATAAGTTTCCATTCTCCCATTTCCAGATCATGAAACTTCTCACTTTTTTATTTTTTTCAATGAATTCTGTGTATTCTTTTAATTAAAATGATTTTGAAATCTATAAGCTAAAATAATCACAGTCCATCATAATTTTACTGAACTCACTCCCTTCTTGGTTTTTACTTATCTCTACCTTCCAGGTCATTTCCTTTAGAGACAATATTGTTCTATTTCTAATCACTCTATCCTTGTCTACTGGACTAAATGATTTAATCAGTCCCACTCCAGTTTTTTTTTTAAATAATATTACCATCTCCTCATTCTTTGCTGCAGTTGGCTGGCTCTATATTTTCTCCTTTGGACTCTTCTAATCTTTCCCTCCTCTCCAAGCATCAGTTTCCCTCAACAAGTCCATCAAGATGAATGGGATGTCCAAGGTGTTCACTCTTACATCCTTCATCCAATTACACAACAATGCTCTACACTGACACAGGCTCAGCTTCCAGGAAGGACCAATGTCTTTATTGGAGGGCAAATCAGTTCTTCCACAACCCAATCACTACCACCACATTCAAAAGATCATGGCTATATCTCCCAGACACCCTATGCCACACACCAAATCCCTGGACACATTCAGCTGCATTTCCCCCAAGTACCTCTGAGGGCATAGCAAGCCACTTCTGAAGAGGTAGGGGATGCCAAAGGAAGTTATCTCTCTCACAAAGGAGAGTCTGCTGAACCTAATTAGGGAGAGCAGACCCATACCAAATGACATCTTTACTTTTTCCAAGACCTCAGAACAAGCACAACATGCATGCTTCTCCACGCTCCCCTTGAAAATCCATTGCCAACTGTCTGGGTTTCGGAAGTACAAGCGATTTCACTATTCATCTAGTCCAATGTTTACCTAGAAAGAACTCCAACTACAATACATTTGACAAACAATCCAGCCATTACTTGAAGATCTTCCATGAGGGCAGGAGGAGAGACCCACTACCTCCTGAAACAATCCATTTGGGGATTGTACTAATTATTAAAAAAAAAAAAAGCTATTTTTTTTCCATTCAAAGTAGATTGGCCTAATTATAATTTCTATCTACCGTTCCTGGTTTTGCCTTCTGGTACCAAACAGATAAAATCTAATAAGAATAAGTCACACCCTAGTCAAGGAGAATGGTGAGTCACTTCCCCTCCAACCACATTTGAGCTTCAAATTTGGGTGGTCTCTCTCCTCTTTTTTCTCTACTACCTTCCTAAGCTTTTCATGTCACCATTGGTCCATAAAAAGAAATGGGAAAAAGAAGAAAAGAAACTTACCCACTGAGAACCACAATGAAGTCCATGACATTCCAGCCATTTCGGAGATATGAGCCCTTGTGGAAGATAAACCCCAGGGCTACAATTTTAATCCCAGCTTCAAAGCAAAAAATCCCAATGAAATATGGTTCTGTCTTCTCCTGCAAGGTAAAAAGCAAATATAGCAGTAATAGGAAGAGACTGCTTAGCCAACAGCACAGACAAGAGCAAACCCTGGCTGTTTCCTTTGCCCCCATACTATTGATGATCTTTCTAGGGAGACCAAAGAAATGCCCATTGATGACATCCACATAGAAGACTTTGAGAGTCATTTGTATATTTAGGTTGAAAGGTAGGACATACTGGGCAGGGGGTGTGGGGTCCTCTAGCCTTCAGCTTCTTTGTGACTCTGAAAGGGAGACATCCAGGAACCAGTTTCAGCAACCCCTATTCTGGCAATATGCTAAATTCATACACTGATGTATGTTAAGCCCTGACTGGCAATGTATGAATGGGCTATACAGGACTGATGGGAGCCTAATCTGTAGCTAGGTTTTACCTCAGAGTTAGCATTTGCTTATCTACCCTTCTATACATAAAGAGCAGTTAGCTTGTCCAGGAAGTAGGATTAAAAGGACTGTCTGCACATGGATCTCATTATAGAGTACTAAGACTTATATAACTAAAACACTTTTTTTTTCACATTCTTAGATTTCCTACAGCAACTTGTTTTCTTTAAGGAGATCAGTATAGTTGGAAACAGAGATTTACCCCTCTAAATCACTTTAGAAGAGTATAGACTTGTGCATTTCTTATGTGAATATTATGAAAATTAGCATATTCATATTTTAATAGGGGATATAATCTTAATCTTCCCATCTCCACCCTATTTCTCTCTTTTTTGACCTCCCATTTCTTTTCATCCATACTTCAAAAGTCCCCCAGAGAAAGAAAGTTAGAAAACCTTTATAATATCCCCATTGTTTCCCTGTGTCTAGCTATCCACAGACTATGTAAAGCATATTGCTGGCTTCAAATATTAGACTATACACCATTTCAAGAGCCTTCTGGGATCTCAAAAAAAGATCCATATTTCTCTTCACTGGTGACTCCCATTGGGGTTGTCAGAGACTTTTCTGTTACTGGGAAAAGAAAAACTATAGTAGGGGGGAGGATAGAAATAAAGGAAAGAAGGAGGGACAGAGCAAGCCTGGGAAGGGAAGGAGAAAGGGGAGAAGAAGAGTGGAAAGACAATAAATCACTTACCAATCTTCTGGACATAGGAGTCTTGTCATCCTCTGGAAGATGTTGCTCCAATGCCAAGACAATGCAGTTGGCAATGATTGTGGCCAGAATCATATACTCAAATGGCGTGGAAAGGAGAAAGTTAAGGACCAAAGCCACCATGGGGAGGGAAGCAACTTCCAAGCCAGCCTTGCAGATTCATGCACAGATTCCCCTCAGTTCCCTAATATACATTCACATACATATAAATATATGAGATATATATATATATATATATATATGATATATATATATATATATATGTAATATCCGTATAGGATCTCCCAAAAGTCTTAGTTCACTTTTAAACCATTAAAGTTTAGAACTATACTAAGACTTTTGAGATACCCTGTATGTATACATACACATATGTATGTATATGTATACAATATCCCAAAAGTATAGTATATATATATATATGTGTGTGTATGTATATGTGTATATACATGTGTACAAATATACACATATATGGTGCCCCAAATGTATATGTGCATATATGTGTGTGAGTATATAAATATATAAAATGTATACATATACGTATATACACATATAGCCTGTTCCAAGAGTTTTAGCTGTTTTTTAACAGCTTAAAACTTCATTAAGTGCAATTTATGTGTATATATACACACATACATATATACGGATATATATGTATATGTCCATATAGATGCATATAGACATATATGTATATATAGGATGATAGATTTAAAGATAACAGGGGCCTCAGAGGTCATCTAGTTGTCCTTTTACTAATGAGGAAACTAATGCCCTGAGAATTTAAGTGACTTCCTGATTATCACCCAGGATGTAAGTAGCAGAGTCAAGATTAGAAGCTGGGTCTTCTGCTGTCCAGTTTCAAACTCTTTCCACTGCGCCATATTGTCTCATATGTTCCTTGGAAAAGAAACACATAACCAGCCCAATGTTGAGCCAACAGCAGGTTCCCAATAGATACTGGTTGAATTGCAAGGACTAAAAATGGGAGAGGAGACAAGGAAAGAAAGGATGAAATTCAGAAGGAAGAGGAAGGAAGGAATTCAGCTCTGGGGCCCCTTGGTCTCAGCAATCTTCAATCACTAAACAATGCAAAGATGATTTAACAGGCATACACAGTTATGACTTTCAGAACAAGTTCGTTTCATTTCCCCCTCTGGGTATCATACTGAAAATTCCCTCCTTTGGTCAGACCCCTCCCCCCAACCAAGAAAGGAAAGAACCTAGAACTCTTAGGCACAAGCAACTGTTCAACCCACTGATGCTCCATTCCATCATAGCACCCTAATTTTAAAAAATTAAAAAGGAATGAGGCAGATGAACTTTCTCCTTCCCTATCACACCCCCACCCCCTACCCCAATTCATATGACAAGTGGTATAGAGCTGCCTCCTGAATCAATCTGGGGAACAGATCGCTCAGTATGACAGGACAATGGAGTCTGTGCCTCCACAAATTAACAAAATATCAATGAATGGATAATGAAGTTAAGCTTTATTGTACTTTACTTTTCCCCCTTAAAGATAAAGACAGGTGAGGGGGCTCCCCATGTCTTTTCTGAAAAACGAGGTTATGACTCAGGTGCCAACAATCTGATTCTTGCAGAATATTTTTGCTAAGAGCTCATGGGGAGGCAGTAGGGGGCATATTAAACAGAGAAAAAGAGAGAAGCACATGCTCCCTAAGCCAAGTCATTCGGTACATTTGATTTCCTTTGGAACCATTGCTATGACAAACAAGACCTAGGAGTTGCTGCTGGTCTTGCAGAACAGCCCTGAGTGCTGGCTTGAGTCTGAAATCCAGGAAAGAAAGAGGCAGCTGCTGTTGGCTACATGAGAGGGAAGGGGGAAAGCATTGGTCTTCCATCCTCCCCTGGACACTTGCAGCCTCTCTACCCTCAGGTATCAAGGTGTCTACCTTGAGCTCCTTTAATTCTCCCCACCATTTTGAATCTAGGAGAAATCAGACCAAGATGTACAGCAGAAGGAGTCTTAAAAGGAAACAGAAGTCATAAAAATGCACCTTGGGGGTGGGGGAGGGGAGAGGGAGTCTAACGCTATTGCCGTGGTGTTATATGCATACACACACACACACACACACACACACACATACATACATACATACATACATACATACATACATACACGCATATCTTTGGCTAAGAGTTGAAGCAGCTAACGCTGCTGCTGCTGCAATTTAAAATCAACAGCTACCAGCTACCTTCTTTTGTCCCACTGGCTCCTTTCCCAGGTACTAGTGGAGATTCCCCAAAGCATGAGATCCAAATGGTTAATTCACTCACTACAGCAGTCATGCTAAATCATTGAATCAGAGGGTTTCAGTGTTTCCCAAAAGACATCCAATTCATTTTCCTGCTTCTGCACTATACTGTGCTTAAATTCTTCCATACAGATGGGAACTTGCTTCTGCCCTTTCAGGAACATCCATCCCACAGCATTCCCAGTCACTCCTTCCTTTCCTCTGAATGGGCATACTCTCCTGGAGAGAAATGAAGGGCTAGGAATGCAGGCTGGAGATGCACCACCCCTACTAATTCTGACCGTCCCACATGCCTGCCATCCCATGGCTTATTCCCTCCAATCTAGCTTTCCTAGAGACCAGTGATTAGAACTACTCTGTACCTTACTGGCTCTCGTTCAAGACCCTGACCTAATTTTAAAAAAGCAGCTTGTCAGTAATTTCCCAGGGCATCCATGTCAGGCCTGGATGCCTTCTGGAGAAGACTGAGACTGAAACATGTTGTCTATAAGATTCCCCTACAAATTTGAAGCCAGGCTACTGAATAAGGTAGGTTGACCTAGGTCTGTATCAGATACCAAGGGCTGAAAAACAAATTTGGTTATGTGAGGTCCTCATCTCCTGGAGCAGGTAGGTGTTAGTATAGCAGAGTGCCTTGCAGATAGTTAGCTTTTAATAAATGTCTGTAATTGAGTTGAAATAACACTGGACTTGGAGTCAGAAGCCCAGTTCTGTCACTCACTAGCCATGTGACCTAAAACAAGCCATTTCATTGCTCTGAGCCTCAGTTTTCCTCATCTGTAAAATCAGGGGAATGAATGCTCTCTAATATCACTTCAGAAACAAATTGTTATGGAGGAGGTGTGATCATTAGATCATTATATATCATTTGTTATACGAAGGAACACTAAGGGTATGAAGAGGAGGAGAGGGGTTGGAAGCCAATAGACATAGACAGTGGCATCTGTTAAAGGAATAACAGAGGAAGGGGGGGTGACTATAGCAGTTGGCCTATATACCAATCCCAGGATTAGGACTTTCAGCTACAGGCAACTTGGGGGGCATTAGAAGTATAGACTGAATCACTTGGGCTAAATGAATTGATTTTCCCTTTTCTTCTCTTTCTTTTTCCCCTTTCTTCCCTCTCTGGTTAGCCTCTTCCCATTGCTTATCCCTAGAACCCAGCCAGAAGACCAGGACAAACAAATGGTAAAGGTGTCAAACCAGCCTGGGAGCTTCAGGAGGTTCCTGCTTTGCCACAAGGGCTGAGATAGTAGGACAGATCAGTTTCCAGTTTGTCAGTTAAACCAAAGCCCTACCTGGCTCTCACTGGCCTGGTTAAGGACTAAGGTTCTATTTGGATGGAGTCGGGCTTTCTTTCTCCCCTTGCAAATCTGCAAGCAATTATACACAGGCCCAAAAGTAAATACCTCCCTGGTGCTGATGCTGCAGGCAAGGCAGAGTCCCTAGGCAGCAGATTCATTTGCTTAAATGGTAATTGCAAGACTGCCTGGCAGCATTGTTGGATACCAAATCCTCGCCAGCTCTTGGCTCTGGTTACATCTTGCCATAGCTCTCCACCAGCATCTTGCTCCTGATCCCCTACTTTTCCAGCCAAACAATTATGGTAGATTACTCCCAACTCAGATCTTTAAAACTGATTAGTCCAGAATATGAAAAACCCAGGTGAAATTCCCAAAGACAGAATTAGAGACTAGTTCAGAGATGGATAGTGGGACTGCTGGGTAACCTGGACTGGGCCCATGGAGGCACAGAAAATGGAATCTGGCACCCCAGGTGCTGAAGCATCAGACTTTCTATGAGTAGGCCAGGTGCTTGGGGGCAGAAAGAGTCAATTTTCTGGTCTGTATCCTGATAAATGGCTACTGTCCTCAGACTAGTAGGCTCTAGGTGTAATTTCAATGGTGCTAAGAAGTCCTGGGGGCCTAAAATATCCTCCCCATTCCATTTCTTTCAATTGATCCCTTTGACTTAAAGTTTTGGTCCCTCCATAAAACACACACACACACACACACACACACACACACACACACACACACACGGCTGGGAGAGAGACCAGTGTAAGCTGTATCTGTTATCATCCCTATTCCTGATTGACAAGTCAGAGTACAGGTTTTGAAAGGAGGGAGGTAGGGCACTTAAGGAGAATATATGAAGAAAAAAAAGGAACAAAATAAAAGAGGCTATTGGGACTGGAGAAAGAGCAGAAGGGGGGAAAAGTTACAATTGTGCATTCAGTAAGGCCCAGCTCCTTAATCCTTCTCTTCCACCTTCCCATCTTCACTCAATCAATATACTAATCATCTACTATGTACTAGTTAATATGGTAGATGCTGAGGGCACAAGGATAAAAGAAAGAATCTCTGCCCTCCTAGAGCTTATATTCTATCAGGGGTGATGAAAAGCAAAATTGGGGTACTGTCTCTGCAGTACAACTCCAAGGACATCTCAGCATTGAGACTGGACAGTGCTGGGGTTCCTGGTGGGCTTCTAGCAGAGCAGGGCCTCAATCAATCAGGTCCTTCCTCCCTATCCTTCCACGAGCAATACCTCAAGCCCAGGGCTTCTCCTTCATCTTATAGGTGCCCAGAGGAAACATTTGCTGGACAAGGAAGCAACACCAGGGAAACCCAGCTTCTCCTTCAATAACGAACAAACAACATGTATCTCATACGTCCAAATAAGACAACACTGAACAGCTGAGGAGATGACCCAAGTTGTAAAGACCATGGACTAGTTACAATTAAAATGACAATCCTGAAACAGATGGGAGTCCCTAGAAAGGGTACCTCTTTCTCTTCTACTTCCTTTATCC